GTATTTCATAATTGAAAATGAAATTAATTAAAGCCTACAATTCCCTTAGAGGATTGCACAAGAAAACACTTAAAATGGCCTATTATTCCTTTGAAGGATTGCACAATATAATATTTAAAACACAGGATGCAATAGGCCCAATATTACATTGTCATTTTGTTTCAAGCAAAATGTAGGTTTATATTTGTTTTCTGAACAACTGCTGATACATATTTTAATAGTTTTCATCTGCAATGGGCAATCGTCCGAGCACTTACAATCAAAAGCATTCACATGTGCCGCAGGCTGAGTATAACTTCCGACGTATTTAAAAACCCTTTTCAGGCACGGGCCCGAATCGATTGGGGGAGGATCGGAAAAGGCGCGTTGTTCCGAGCACGCGGCGAAATTGCAACTGACTACTGATCAGGCAGTGATCCCACACACTGATTCCGATCTGGTCTAGTCGGCTCTGCTTGCAGCGGGCAGTAGAACCGGACTCGTCGGTTTGTAAAACAGTACTAGAAACTAAATCGAAATCAAATTCGAAATATAGCCAGCTACCGCGCAAATTGCTCGGCGACAGCGACGCCGACGTCGGCATCTGTGTTGCGGGTGTGTGTGTGTGTGTTGTTGGGGGGTTGACTTTCATTCATCAAAAGCTGCTGCCGCTGCCGACTGCGCTGCTCTCAGCTCAGCGCATTTCACGTAACGCATACGCAGCGTTGGCCGCGTAATTTGTCGCGCCTTGTTTCGCTTTCCCTTAAAGCAAGGAGTGCAGTAGTGAAAGGAACTAATTAGTGTCTTGGCATCTACTTTCGATTACTTCCTTTCCATTAGTGGCTGCATTGTACGCCAACTTCACTGATCATCCTCGCATTGTGGCTAATGGCAATCAGGGGATTCACTGGTCGCTCAAGGTCCTCCTCTGTGCCTGCCAAAAGAAAGCAAGATTCTGTTTAGATCTGGTTTAATATTGTGTCACAACAAGCTCGCCCTAAAAGTGGGTCAAGTTTGTGCATTACCCAATTCCAGGTTTGATTACACCTCATGTTGCGAAAGATCGACACAAACCACCCCGAAAAAAAAGAGCGAACAATGGCCAGAGCCATGGACTACTTGAACCTGATTGAGTGTGTCCGGAATACAAAGGCCAGGGAGCCAGCAAGAAGGTGGGACTGAGTCCTAGGCTGACCGAAATGATAGTCGAGCGTTTCCGGTTTCACATTCCATTCCACAATAAATATCAGCAGTAGAAATAAAGCAATAAAAATCAGCAGCATCGTCACAGCTGCAGCTGCCTTTGATCTGCTTTTCAATTCGATTTGCCTTGGGGGCCAGTTCAGTTCCAGTTCCATGCTGGTGGGAATCGAGAGTGGTATGCTCTAACTGCGGAAGAGCAGGCCGGAGGATGGGATGCTGCTAAGTGGCGGGCCACAGTTGACAGCGATTGCCGTAGTCCCTAAACGTGGTACCCGCACCCCCAACCCACTGGATCTGCCCCTTCGGATGGGTCACCGCTTTCTCATGTGGAGAGGTGAGGTGCTGAGGTGCTGGGCTGCTGAGCTGCCCATGGACACAACACACACATTCGGACCGGAACTGTCGATCTTCATTTTTGACACTGGAAATTTCAAAAGTCACACACCAGCACAGAGTGTTGAGGTTGCAAATTGCACGCCAATCGTGTTGCTATGTTTTGATATATAAATAACTAAATAATTAGATGCTCGTCGGTGTTGCTGGTCCGAAGTTAATTCGGAAAGTGCCTCGTAATGAGGATGAGCCTTTCGAGGGGCTCAAGAAACAATCGAGTTGAAACCAGCTCTAGCCATTCTGGATGGAATTATAATTTCGAGGTTTGCAAATACAGTCAACTTCCACGTCTAAAAAGGTTATTTAGATTTATACGATGGACAATAATATCTTCCAAGAAAAAAAAATGTTATCATGGTGCCCTAGGATATTAAGGTGTGCAGACAAGATATTAATGGATTAGATGTCAAATAACCTGTTAAAAAAAAAAAAAATAAAAAAGAAAGCATTTTAAATAGAAGCACAATTTCACTTCTCACAAATACATTTAGCTCAATGTTTTTGGATATCTAATACCATCAATTTATGAAACATTTTTGAATACAATTTTTACAGAGGACGGCTATGGTAAACATTTCCCTTTAAATGTTATCCCTTAATCCTATCAATTATACACTTACCTGTATGTTAATATCAGATTTTATCTCAACTGCATATGCTATTCAGATAATCATCGGCTCTCTGAAAAAAAATTATATGTGAAATTTACTGGTGCCTAAAATAAAAATCCATTTTTACTTACTGTCCTCTGAGTACTGTGCCTATTTTGTTAAAAGTCTGCACCCAAAATTGACCAAGTGAAACAGATGGATTTGATCGATTTGGGAAAACTTCAAGCAATCAACGCCTCAAGCTTCTCCATACATTAAACATATTTATTTTAAGTTCATTATATTATGTGTAAACATATGTATTATTGATTAAGAATTTCAAGATCACAAATCAGATTTCATTTAAGCTTATCAAGTGAGCAAGTTCATCTTTTCGCTTCCGTTTCGAAATGGCAACATAATTTATGGTAAAATTCGTGGGAGGGCGAGGAATGATTATGGAATACCACCTCCTCGTGGTTCCCATCTCCCAGGACTAAGGACTAAGTGTGTTAAAATGGCAAATTTAGCTTTAGCTCTAGGTGCTATATTAAAAGGTAGGAGGTAAAGACAGTTGATAGCGGGGAGAACATATTTAAAAGGAGTATTACGAAGCGCACAGAATAAAAAGTACTTTCTAGAGGGATTCGTGCATGAGTACCTATGATGATGGTGATGTTGTTGTTGTTGTTGTTGTGGATGTTTGTGCAACAGTTGGTTGTTCCGCAGCAACCACCACCACCACCACCAATACAAAATACCAGCAGCAGCTGCCGGATATATAGGTATGTGGCACAGGCCACATAGGGTTTATGGATTAGGGGTATGTGAGTTGGTGAGGGCCCCTGCTGCAGTTGTTTTTTTTGCGAGGGCCGGCTAATCCGTTTTGGGGCGACGAAAGAGCAGGATGTGGGGCTCCGGTTTGTGGATCATGTAGTGGATCCATCCGCGCGACTGCTGGACCCCGATGGATCGCCACTCGGCCTCCGTCATCAGATGGGTTTTGGGCACCATTTTCACCAGCTCCTTTGGCAAAACCACATGTCTGCGGGGGCAAGGGGGGTTTTACAGTTGTCTTCGCTCGATTCAATTATCGGCTCAAGAGCCAAACCCACCTGTATTCGAACTGCTCGTCGTAGTACTTGTCCGAGTAATATATGTCCTTGCTCATCCTGTCTGGTTGTGATATTTCCCTGAATTATGCACCAATGGAATGCGGAGAGCGCGCTGCGAGACTCGGCGTCTTTTCTGGACCGGCGAAGGCGGCTTCTTTGGATCTCAATACTCCACGTGTCCCCAAACGCTGATCACTTAACAAACACTACAACTGCTTTTTTGGTCTTCGTTTCTTAGTTTCTATCACAATTTGGTTCGATTTGCAAGCACAATTTTACGTTTTCAATGGTTTTTAAATCAAAAAGTGACGCGCTTAGAGGTGGACAAACGACCATATCGATAACGACATCGATGCCTTCGATGTTTTCAAAGTATCGGTCCTATCGATGTTTGGCAGGGATATCGATGTGGTTTCGTGTCTAGAGGTGGAGAAACGACGATATCGATAACAACATCAAGTTTCTGCAAACTTAGCCTGGTTCTAATCCAGTTCTTGCACACCCTCTGTTAAAATTATGAACATCTGCTGAAACATCTCTCAAGTAAGAAATGTAAAAATTGTTTTTAAATTCTGAGAATGGAATTGAATGTTATTTATATTTACAACCCCTTGTTGCCTTGAGCCCTGTGACACTGAATAGTTATTCTGTTGTAATAAATAAATATCCGAACCCGTGGGCTGTGTACTGGCTAAATGTAAAATGTGAATCTGCTAGAATTTCGTATCGCCTCGGCTAGGTGTCGCTTTTAAATCCGCCAAAAATAGTTAGCTGTTACATTAAAATTAATGAGTTTCTGAAATTTGAAACGCATGCTAGCGCCCTCTGCCTTGTGTCGGCCATACCTAATTTGGTACATTTTGACTCGGCGCCATCTGTGCGTGGTGTTTCTCTTCACGAAGTCCTGCTGCTCACCGTTAGATGCCGCCCAAAATGATTTTGTTCACCTAAATTTCGGTAGTGAAAAATTTGATCGATAGAGAGAAAATTGACGGAAAGTGAGAAAATTTAACAATAGAGCGAAATTTTCCGGGTTTTCAGCAACTTAAGGGAGCTGCAAGGAAAGTCCTGTTTCCCGATCTTCGACAAACTTCTGTTCTTATCCTTTCAGTGATTCAAAAACGCCGTCGACCCAAAAGAAGTGCGGTAAGCGGTATGAGCTTGCCGCAAAAGTTCCTGATATCCCGGCGCCTCAGCTGAACAACGGCCGAGAGGATGATTCCATTGGCATATTCTTCCATAGTGAACAGTCTTTTTAGGCCATCCACGTTATTATGATTGCTTCCTGGTTTTTTGGAAGGGAATTTTTCACTCCACGGAACTCACTAAATCCCGCATATTTGTTATAACTTTTATAGACCCGATGCCAAAGCGATTCTAAATGAAAACTTAAGCAATAGTAAACCCTAGTTAACAAACGTAAAAGTTAAGATTACTTATGCGAAAACTATATGATTGGCGAGAACTTGACCGCTTGCAAAACTTCCCACACAAACTAAATGCGAGCGGTAAACATAAATATTCGCGTTTAACTGTCTGACCATTACTGGCCGCCCCCTGCCACGCCCCCAGTCTGCGTGGAAAACCCTAAAAGGCATCGTGCAGACACATAAATCCGGCATAGTGTCCGCAACGGAAGGCAAAGGCGTTGGCCCTCAACTCGTGCGAAATCTTATATAAATTTCGCGGTGCCGACAACCGTGGCAGGAAAACGAATTCGTTGGTGGTGCAATTGCAATGCTTTTAGTTAACGGAGGAAACACTTAATGGTTGCGCTCGTAGTACTGCGACGGGATGAAGACCCAGTTCTTCGCCAAGTCGTTGATGGCCTCCTGCATCAGTCGGGTTAATATCTCTATAATGCGGCTGGAATAGAGAAGAAGGGTTAGTGCATTGGTAAGTAATTTTACTAGTTATTGATTTTGATAACACGCTCATTGAAAGTAAAAGGACATTGGTGAACATTATGAATATTATGAATTACATGAATTTTTTGTAATATATGTATAAGATCCCTCTTATTTTTTCAAATTTGACACTTTTAGTTAGGTTTTTTGTTGTTTATATAATGATAAACTAATTTGTTGGTTTCAGAGCATCACTTTTGCTAAAACTAAGTACATTTTTGTGTTCAATAATTTTATGTTTCAGTGTTTTTGTCAAAAATTTCTAAAAAATGTCAACAATTTTCAAATGAAATTATAATACCCTCTGGAAGGGTATAAAAACTCAAGACAAGCATTTTAAGTTATTAAATAGGATGTATGCTATAAAAAGAACAATTACCCTGACATTAGTCAATAACTTACTTGCGATCTATTTCCGTAGTCTCTTCCGGGGGCAACTGCTCATCCGGGGACACCACTTGCTCGTAGGTTTTGTTCACCCTCTGCCGCTTGCGATCCCCAGTGATGCGCATGAACTTGGACTTGCTGAGGTACTTCCAGAAGAGCTTCTCGAAGATAGTGATCCGCTGGTCGATGGCCATGCTGAGTTCAATGACTTCGTTGTAGTTGAGCTTGTTCTTGGCGACTAGCCGACTGATCAGCTCCTTGCGTTCGGCCTCCTTGCGCTGCTCTTCGGTTGGCGGCGTGCGCTGTGAAGGCCCGTCTCCCGATCCCATTCCTCCACCAGTTCCAGGACCAAACTGCGCACATGGGTCAGGACCGGCCGTGGGGTCAATCTTGTCGCCGGGCTCCGACTCCTCGGAAGTGTCCAGGGCGGGCTTTACGTTCGTGCGGATGTTCAGGTGCAGATAGACATGCTCCACGTAGCTGTCCTCCTTCCACTTGGGATCATCGATGGACTCCACCTCCTCCAGTTCCTGCTTGGCGATGACGGTGGCGCGGTCGAGGATGCGGTGCACCTCCATCACGATGGGAATGCGCCGGAAGTGCACCAGGCGATCCAGCACCGACACCCTGATCTCGCACAGCTTCGAGTGGTGGGGCTTCAGCCGAAAAATGGGTGGGTTGAAGAGCACCGAAAAGAAATCGTTGATTATGTAGCTGCGGGGGGAATAAAGTTAGTTACTTAATTTGGAAAATACTTTCCCGACTTGAACACGATTTAATCATCTTTTATATATTTTAGCGAATTGCAAACCGAATGCCAGTGTCGCAAATCATTTAGAATATAGAGATCGTTTAACATTTTATACTAAAATGCTTGTTTAAATGTTTTTTGCCTTTGATCAAGGGAACAAAAATCTAAACTGAAAATTAAGCACAACCTTATTTTTAAACACACCTCTGCCAGCGAAACTCCATGCACTTCTGCCCGTAGTTGTGGACATTGACGAGTTGTGTCCGGTCTTCCCGCAGACAAATCTCAAAGCTCAATCTGTTCGGATAGATGACGTGCAGGAAGTCGGCGCATTCGCAGTCCTTCAAGGGCATGTCCGTCTGCTCCTGTTCGTCTGTCAGCACACCTCGAGCCTTGATCCTGTAGCGAGCCTTAGCGTTTTCGTAGGACAGGACCACCTCCGCCTGCGAAAGATGTGGCACATCATGACACACTCTGGCTAATTACTTTTTGGCTTAAAACTAACCTCGTTTTCGTAGTCCAGGGGTCGATAATCAACCAGAAGGGGCCACACACTCTGCCGCGGCACGGTGAGATTCATGTTGAGCAGCTTGAGGCCGCGATCCCTCGAGGAGAACGAGAAAGTAAGATGCGACATCGTGATATTCTGCACCCACAACGGCTGAGTGACATGGTAATAGTTCCTGATATTTACCGGCAGCAGCTCTTTGTTAAGCAGGCACTTTTCGGGATCGAAGGAGCTGATCTCCAAGTGGAAGTGCCAAAGGAACTTGCGTTTGTCCTCGGTACTGAACAAAGAGAACGAGTTTGTTAACTAGCGAAATGATTAATACTAATATTCAACAAAATACAATAATACGATAGTCTTAAGATTCCTAACTTTTTGAACTAGATACCTCTCTTAAATGAACACAAAAACAAGCCGCCTAATAATAAATTTCTTTATTTTTTATATTTGTTTATATTTAAGTAATCCCTAAGATTTCTAAAATTATTACCTTAAATTATTAACTAAACTGCTAGGTGGCAAAGCATTATATGCCTGATATCATAAATCCGTTTACTGGTAATTAATATTACAAAATATGTTTTTTTATTCTTAATTAAGGGAAACCATTTATTTTTGAATGGTTAAAAAAAGTATCAACTATATAATAATTCCAAAATTAAAAAAAAAGAAAGTTTAACCCTACTAAGCTATAAATTGTCTTCTTGTTTCGATGATAACTTACTTTACTTCGTAGGTGAGTATGTGTTCTCCGTAGAGGAAGAAGAAGGCCGTGACTGTGAGGGCCACCACCTCATCTGGTTTGATGGCCAAGAACTCCTGGTTGATGTGGAGCAGCCTGCGGTGCGGACAGTGGAATAGCTGGCGAAACTGGTTGAACCCGACTTGGGTCTGTAGCGGCTGGCAATGGCAGTTCTGAATGCGCTTCAGTGTGAGAGTGGCGTTCTTGGAAGACAGATTACGCAGCCAGAAGACGATTTTCAGCGGCTGGCTGTGGATCTGGCGGATCGGAATCGAAATGGTGTGCTCGTGCTCTGGGCGATTCGAACGCAGCTTCCTGTTCAGACTGCAAATGGCAAAAGGAACAGTCAGGATATAACTTCACATTGATTTATGCCCTATCCCACCCCGGTATGTCGAAGCTCTCCCAGTAGTAGATCTTCAGAATGGGCGGTCGAACGATGGTCAGGTTGTCCACCATCAGCTTCTGGTAAATGGGTGGCGGCTGGATCTCGCCACATGGCTTCTTTGGCGGAACCGCAATGGGAGCCGACAGGGCCTCCTCCATTTCTAACTCCAAAATATATATTGCGGCAGCCTGAAAATTACTCACACAAAATCTTACTTTTGACTACTACGTGTTTTTGACCTGTCACAAAATGTAGTGCTATTTTAATCCGGTAATCCGGTCTAGAAGCCTGAACTTTTAAAATACATGTTGTGTTTTTATACCCTTGAAGAGAGTATTATAATTTCAGTCAGAAGTTTGCAACGCAGTGAAGGAGACATTTCCGACCCTATAAAGTATATATATTCTTGATCAGCATCACTAGGCGAGTCGATCTAGCCATGTCTTTCTGTTCGTCCGTCTGTCCGTCCGTCTGTTCGTCTGTCAGTCCGTTTCTACGTAAACTAGTCCCTCAGTTTTAAAGCTATCTGCATGAAACTTTCCCAAAAGTTGTCTTTCTATTGCAGGTAGTATATAAGTCGGAACGAGCCGGATTGGACGACTATAGCATATAGCTCCCATAGGAAGAATCGAAAAAATAAATTAAAATAAATTATAACTTTGTTGTTTTTTAATTTTTTTTTAGTTCTTCGACATATAGTAATGGTTAAATATTTTAGAATAACGGTATAGCTACCATAGAAATAATAAAAATATATAAAAAACTATCTAATTATTGAGCTGCAAGTCAACATAGCTTCAATGTTTTTAAACATATACGCAAGTAAATTATAATTTTAATGTTTTCAAAAATGTTTAATTCTTGCAATACTTGTAGCTGCAAGGTTTTATGAACTTCGGCTTACCGAAGTTAGCTTTCTTACTTGTTTATTAACATTTTGAGATTATAAAAAAAAAGAAAAAAAAACAAAATTAGTTGAGATTCAGGGAGGTGGAAACGGCGGGTCCTGGTTGACATAATTTCAACCCTTGTAGTGATCGGAGAAAAAAAATTAAACAAGTTCTTTATTAGTAAAGATGCCGTTATCGGGTTGGCCACTTTCAAAATAAAATAATTTAAAATAACAAAATTGCGTCGACTTGAAAACAAAACATGTTTTTTACCCAAATGTTTCGACCTTTTCGAATACTTTAAAAATACGTATAATCAACATTTATTTTGCGGTTTTAACACCATTATAAAATGAATTATTCGCCCAGCTCTGTTTCATATTGCTTTGTACACGCTTTTTGGTGGCCCTCCTGCTGTTAAAAAACTGGGCCACGAAATGCAAAGCGAGAAAGTGAGATGGCAACCGTGTACACCTGTGCGTTTGTGTGTTCTTCGATAATCCTGTGTGCAATTCGTTTTTGTTTGTGAATTGACAAAGTGCCAAAGGCCAAGTGGGCGGGCAAAAGAGCAAGAAAAAGACATTAGTGCCACGGTGGAAAACAAACCTCCTGCCGAGAGGCGAAGTCCAACACACGCACACTTCCTTCCTCGTTTCTCGTTCTTCTTCTTGGCTGTGTGGGCATGTCTTCAGGTAAGTCTGCATGTGTGACTGCAGTTGAGCTTCATCGAGAAAACATCGTTTACAGTTAGTGCGCTGACAGCGGCAAAGGTGGAAGACCAACAGCAATTATAGTACAGTGGGGCGTCCTTGACTCTGCCCCGAACAAAAAGGAGTATCAAAGAAATTAAAATGCCTAAATTAATATTTATAAGAAGGGAAAATACAATTTGACACCATTAACTAATACTTAAATATCAGCAGTCTTCGTTAATGCTTTTGTTTTTTAATTGATTTAATTTTAAGATTTTAATCCACAATCGTTATTCACAGAAGTTGGGGAGAAAAATCTGAATGCCACCTTTTTTATTTTTTTGATTTTAGTTGTTAAACAAGCAGATCTCAGAAATTGTTTGAGCCCTTATACAAGATAGCTACATATGCTTACTTTGCTTTGATTTAGCATAGCCATGATGGCATAACTTATACTTGTAAAATAATGCATGCCTTTCTTTGAAAATGTAAATTTAATAAAACTTAGTCCTAACAGTTAGACTTCATTCAATTAATTGCTAATTAACACTTTGAAGTAATGCATTGCCATCCATTAATAGAGGCTACTATTAGCCTGTCGGCATTCAGTTTCGTTTTTTTTCACACATATCCAATGCAGTTGATGGTTACTCGCATTCAATGGCCACTGTCCTGACAGTGGCTACAACCTGTGTGCATCAATCACAACCTTTGACAGCGTCGCTGCCAAGCTTATCAGTCGTCCTTGTCAACCCCCTACCCCCAATTGCCACTCCGCCTGCCCATCATCAGCAATCTGGCATAACAATGGTGGAAAATGGTCTATGACCAGAATACAGGAATCCAAGAATACGAGGCAGCTGCAATTGCCGGCGACTCTTCAGGACACATCATCTTGTTGCTCTTGGGCGAGTCCTTTTCCTGAGAGAATTTGAGTGTTTCAGTTGTGCCAACGTTGCATTGCACTCAAACCGTTGCACTTCCACACGTTCCAGCTCAATTCCCCGGTGGGGGTGACCAACTTTATGTTTTAAGCAAATATTTTGTATACTTTTTTCCTGGGCTGGTTATGTGGCATGAACTGTTGACCAGCGACAACTTGTTGTCCAATTGTTGTGGTTAGACTTTGCGATGGAGGGAATATCAAAGGATTCGGGTACTGAGTCCCTTGATGGCTCAGTCAACTCCTTCAGAGTGTCGCTGACTGTGCATAATTATGGCGTAATTCGCAACTTGAAGCAGGCCCAACTAATTACTGCAACAAGCCAGCTTTTGGCCAATTAAAAACTTTTTATGCAAGACATTTTTTAGCGTTCCCCGTCGCCAGGTAAAACTTTGTACCCAGTGCCTGAAATTGCCTCAGTTATTGTAGTCCCTCCAAGCAACCTCCTCACCCATCTGTCGCGCTTCATAATTGAAAATCACTTAGAGCGTGAAGTGCGGAAAAACATTTTCGCAGCCAGAGGTAAGCAAGGGGTTAAGAGCAAAGGAAAGCGGCTACAGAATAAGCGCGATAAACTGCTTTAGCAAGATTAAGTGACATTTAAAAGAACTTACTTAGCATTTATCTTGAAGCTTCTTAATTATTGGGATTAAAATGCTTAAGAGGTTGAGCAAAACTTAAATATCAGGTTTCTAAATATTGGTTAATGCTTAAATGTGTATTTAAATTAGTCCCCCAATCATTTTTGCTAGCATACTTTTGATTTTACATTGGGCTTTTAATAAAAATGCCATAAACTTAAACCAAACACATTGTAGCATCATAAATTAATAAATGAAATATTTGTTTAAATTCAGCAACTTAATTGTATTTGTTTTGCATTATATTTAATTGCTCATGAAACTTTCTGTGCACTCGTATGTGTTGGCCTGAATCCAAGTGGCTTTCGCAGCAACAAAGGCTTAGATAGCCGGTCTGGGGTGGCGCAATTCAAAGGGGGCGTGGCAGTCACTGACACTCAACATCCGCTCTTGCCATTTCCATGCGAATGCCAGCGAACGAATGGGGGGAAATTGAGGAGATGAAAAGCGCCAGAAGAGCAAGAATTGCCAACCCACAAAACAAAGCAATACAATATAGGAGGAAAGAAGAGGGGGGTTTTTTGGGGGCAGGGGAGGGTTGGACACTTCTGTTGCTCTGGCTGCTGCAAACAATTATTGTTATTCCAATTGAAATGCAGCGTTCAGCAAGCCCCGGCAATCTTCCAGCCATCCCCAATCTACGGGCTCCCATTTTGCTCCATTCCAACCGCAGTCCTGTGGCCTTTGTAGAATTGCTATCAAAATTATACACCTTGCAGCTATGAATGAAAGGCGAGGGGCCTGAAGGGGTCTGCGAGTTCATTGTAATGCAAATTACGTATACGCCATGGTGCAATTGCTACTGGACGAACCTCCCACTTGATTATTCTTGTTTATTTCCATGTGCGAGTGCACATTTTCGACCCTTTCTCATTGTCAGAGCTGAAAAAGTAATAATAACGAAAATATGGGTTTAGGTAGAGATGCCTGTTCAAGGAGCGTTAGGAAAATGCAATTAAGGCATTAACCAGTGTGGAAAATAATTGCATATCCATATGCACTTTTGGGGTTTGTTTTGGTCTTTAATTTAACCTGTTTGCAGCGAAGTCGTTTCCCTGTAGCTAAGCTTATTGGCTTATCAGTCGAAATTGTCTCACTTAATCATCAAAACAAGCTTAGCCCCGAAAACTTGCCCCAGTGTCCAGCAGAACTAGAGGAAATGCAACATTTTGCAACAGGAAATGCACCCAAGTAACTTTTCCCAAGGGGGCCAAGCGGTCGGTGTGCCAGTGTCGTTTCAAGGGCCAGGAAGTTGTCGCATTTAAATGGGAAAACTTCAACACACAAAATGGATACACAAATACCAGAAAAGTCCCCAAATTGTACATGTTATCGACTGATAACAGCAAATGGACACGGCTTAGTGTGGGCAAAAAGAGGCAGCCGGAGTAGTACGCTTTTCCAGCCTTGGACCGCAAACCGGAAACGGAAACCGCATCCGCCACGCCATCGCCGTCATCATCACCGCCATCATTGTCGTCATCGACAGTGGAGAGCCTCTTCCCCTGACAGCAGCTGGAGTCCATTTCCTATATGCAGACACACGCAAGCACATACCGTACCTGTGCCTTTGACAGCTGGGCCAGCTTGCCTTTCCGCCCTTCCGCTTTTCCAACTCTTTTCACATGCACCGCAAGCAGCTTTGTCGGCCGCTTTCCCTTTTTCCCAGTCGATTGCCACTAGACAGGGATATTCATTTCATGCCTGTGTCTACAATGCGCGGCAAAGCTTACTGGATTTGCAAACAACCAATTGCAAATGCACTAAATGAAACCTTTAAGGCCTTATGCAAAATCAAGTGTAACTTAGTTTTGTTTTACTGTTTTTATATTTTCATTTTAAATTCGGTTGACACCGTAAACAATTTAGAAGCCTGTTTGACGTTAATAATGACAAGTACTTTTTAATCTAAACTTTACACACCAATAAATTACCAAATATTCGCTTTATGAAGAAACAACCCTCTGCCTGCTGAATAAATAATTGCCTACCTTTCCGAAATTTATCCCCAAAGGTTGCTGTAACTAATGCATTTCATATGGTTAGAGCATATCTTTTCCGACGTTA